GGGAACCCTCCTACACTGCTGGTGGGAATGTAAATTAGTTCAACCATTGTGGAAAGCAGTATGGAGGTTCCTCAAAAAGCTCAAAATAGACATACCATTTGACCCAGGAATTCCACTTCTAGGAGTTTACCCTAAGAATGCAGCATCCCAGTTTGAAAAAGACAGATGCTCCCCTATATTTATCGCAGCACTGTTTACAATAGCCAAGAAATGGAAGCAACCTAAATGTCCATCAGTAGATGAATGGATAAAGAAGATGTGGTATATATACACAATGGAATATTATTCAGCCACAAGAAGAAAACAAATCCTACCATTTGCAATAACATGGATGGAACTAGAGGCTATTATGCTCAGTGAAATAAGCCAGGCGGAGAAAGACAAGTATCAGATGATTTCACTTATATGTGGAGTATAAGAACAAAGAAAAACTGAAGGAACAAAATAGCAGCAGACTCACAGAACCCAAGAATTGACTAACAGTTACCAAAGGGAAAGGGACTGGGGAGGATGGGTGGGAAGGGAGGGATAAGGGCAGGGAAAAAGAAAGGGAGGATTACGATTAGCATGTATAATTAGCATGTAGGGGGGCATGGGGAGGGCTGTGCAACATAGTGAAGACAAGTAGTGATTCTACAGCATCTTAGTACACTGACGGAAAAAAAAAGAGTGTAAGGAAGGGAAAGGAATGGGAATTGAAGAAAAATATTTGAAGGCCTGTGATTAGCCAGACACTCCTATAGGTACTTTAGATATATTATCTTATTTAATGATACTAAGCCATATTTTCTTATCTCTTTTTTACAGATAGGAAAGCCTTAGAAAGGTAAAGTAACAGACCCCAAATAGCCAAAGGAATCCTGAAAAAGAAGAACAAAGCTGGCAGTGTTATGCTCTCTGATGTCAAACTACATTACAAAGCTATAGTAATCAAAAGAGTAATGGCACACAAATAACAAATAGACATACAGATCAATGGAACAGAATAGAGAGCCTAGAAATAAACCCATGTTTATGTGGTCAATTAATCTATGGCAAAGGAGGCCAGGGATATACAATGGGGAAAAGAGACTGTATTTTCCTCAATACTTGTGGAGAAACTGGACAGATATGTGCAAAAAATAAAACTGGACTACTGTCTTACATCATACACAAAAACAAACTCAAAATGTATTAAAGACTAAATGTAAGACCTAAAACCATAAAAACTCCTAAAAGAAAACATGGGCAGTATACTCTTGAACATTGGAATTAGCAATTTTTTCTTGTATATGACTCCTAGACCTGACTCCTAGAGCACGGGAAACAAAAGCAAAAATAACCTAGCCAGACTACATTAACCTAAAAACCCACTGCATAAGAGTAAGTCTTGAGGTGAGCTTAATGAGTGTTGAGGATGCAATTTCATTAACAAAATGAAAAGGCAATCTGCTAAATGGGAGAATATGTTTGCCAGTGATACGGTTAATGTTCAAAGTATATAAAGAACTCATAAAACTCAACACTCAAAAAAATAATCCAATTAAAAAAAATGGGTAGAGGAACTAGATAGACATTTTTCCAAAGACATACAGCTAGCCAACAGACAAAAGAAAAGATGCTCAACATCACTAATCATCAGGGAAATGCAAATCACAGCCACCATAAGATAGCACTCACACCAGTCAGAATGCCAAGTATCAAAATGACAAGAAATAACAAATGGTGGCAAGGATGCAGAGGAAAGGGAACCCTTATGCATGGTTGGTGAGAATACAAAATAATGCAGCCATGCTTATCATGGTGAGCAGTTAGTAACATTATATGATTGTTGAATCACTATCTTGTACACCTGAAACTAATATAATATTGCATGTCAACTGCACTTCAATAAAATTTTTTAATTAAAGAAACAAGAAAGGTAAAATGACTTCTGCAAAAAGTGTAGAGCTGAAATTTGAATCCAGGTCTGGCTCTACACTGGATGGTCCTGTAAGAGGGGGAAAGATAAAAATGTCAAATTTATACTGGGTCTGTCTTCTCATGCATGAACTTGTTATAGCATACTAACCTTAAGCTAGGCCTATACCAAGGACACCTATTCCCTAGGGAAGATATGTTAGCTCACCTCTCTTGTTTCTTTGTCTGGTATTAGTGTCTGGAAGAAAAGGTGATGCACTGGAGGTCGTAAGAAATACTTCAGTCTATGCAGGCACGGTCTGTTGTACAACCCACCTTGTGGTGGTTGTGCTTGTACCTGGGCAGGCCCTGGGTTGGCAGGGTCTGGCAGTGATATCTCTTTTCTGGCTGGAGTTTCTGTGACAGAGAGCCAAGGAACTCTCTCTAAGGAAGTTTCAGACTGTGGAGACTGTGGGCTGGGAGGGGACATTGGAGAAGATGGAGCTGAGAAATCCATAGGAGTGTCACAGTTCTTTACATCATTTTGGGGAGAGTCAGGCCTGTCATGTGGTAACTGAGGCAAGTCTCCAGGTGACTGTGGTGAGTCTCTTGGCAAGTGTGGTATGTCTCCAAGTGAACATAGCACATCTGGTAAGTGGGGAGCTTCTCCAGGTGAATGTGGCACACTTCCTGGTGACTGTGGAGCGTCTCCTGGTGAGTGTGGCCTGCCTCCCAGTGACTGTGGCAGGTCTGCTGGTGGCACATCTTCCAGTGACCGTGGCATGTCTTGCAGGTACGCTACATCTTGTGGATATGCTATGTTTTGAGATGGACCTAGGATATCTTGAGGTGGGCAGAGTAAGTCTTGAGGTGAACTTAATGAGTATTGAGGATGCCATGATGAGTCTTGAGGTGAGTTTGGCATATTCTGCTGGGGGCATGGCACATTCTGAGAATATGGCACATCTTGAGGAGGGTATGGCACTTCTTGAGGCAAGTGAGACAGAGCTTGTAGTTGGCACTGCATGGTTTGTGATGGGCATGACAAGGCTCGTGGCGGGCATGAGGAGGCTCGTGGTGGACATGATAAGGCTTGTGGTGGGCATGGCAAGGCTTGCAGTAGGCATGGCAGGGCTAGTGGTGGGCAAGGTACATCTTGCTGTGTGCATGGCAAGGGTGCTCTCTGACTGCTGCTGCTACCATTATTGCTTGTTGGGGAGAAGGAGTGAATGTCTGAAGACAGCTGTAGGCTTGCCAAGAAACCAAGGTCACCTTTGAATGTGGTTGAGCTGCAATTTGGCTCTGCTGGATGAACAGAATCTCCACTGATGGACACTGGGAGTTGGGGACCCTCAAACATGTTTTCTTCCAAAAGGTCCAAATCCACAGGATCGCTGTTAATGATTCTCTGTGCTGCAGGCTGAGAGCTTCTGTCCATCACCTCTTTGCTGGAGAGGCTGGCACATGTCTGAGGACTCGTTGGCTCCTTCTGGGAAGGAGCAACAGATTCTAGAGTCAAGTCAAGAGTGGCAATAGGGCTATTTTCGTCCTCAGTTCTTGTCAGGTCAATCACACAGAGTCCATTGCGATCCTTTGTCCTTGGTCTGGCTTCTCCAGTTAAGTCAATGAAGTCCTGTTGAAGGATTGTGAGAGAATAAGAGGTCAAGCAGGAAGTCTCAGCTTTATGTAAGAAGAGCTTACATCTTAGCTTTTAAGGATAAGCATATTTTATCTTTTCATTTCACTGGCAATTTATACATTCTGCATAACATAAACATTAGTTTATTTCCTTTGGTTAAAATTTTGCTACTGTCAAAGCTGTCAATTTCTACACCTTAAATTATCCAAATGCCATATTCAATAATTGAGGGCTTAATGGAAATATTTTTTAATCCAAGGTGGTTAGGGCAGTAGTAGGAAAGATCTTAACCTTAAGTCATAAAGTAAAAAGCAACCTTTGTTTGGAAAAGCAAATACACAGGATAACCTACAAAAGAAGCTAAAGAAGGAAAGCTAATGTAAGAGAATCTACTCTGTGCTGAGAACATATTGAGTGCTTTCACATATCGTTAACTTTCACAATGACCTATCACATAGGCATTATCATCTCCATATTACAGATGGGGAAACTGGAGTTCAGACAGGTTAGGTTATTTACTTGAGGATTATACAGCTAAGTAGCAGAAAAAGACATTCAAATCCAGATCTGTTTCCTTTTTTTCCTGTTAGAACCTAGGAATGTGCAATTTTATTCAAGATATAATTAGCCTATAGGCAGATTTGAAGGACAGTACAATAAGGGTTATAAAACCAACAGTGTAATTCAGAGCCCTAAATAGATAAATTACTGAAAAACCTGTTATCTTCATTCCCATTCCTTGGCGAAATGATAAGGCAGTTCACAAGCCTGATAATGCCAAGCAGAGGTACTACAAACAATCTCTGTGCCATGAACCTGGGACAGTATTGCTCTACCCTCCAGTTATCCCTCACCGGGTTGGGTACCATTGCCACTGCTATGTTAGGTACCAAGTCCTGGGTTAGGAATGCTATTGCTGCTACCACAGCTACTGTACTAATTCTTTTAATAGATGTGATGGCTACCACTGTCAACAGCACCAAAGCACGGCACAGGATTCAGGGTGGGTCAAGTGGGAAGTTGGCATGCACCTCATCCTGGAATAGGGATTGCCTGGAAACTTAATGCCTCATTCTTAAGCAGCAGCCATACTGTAACACCGCCTTTGGTGGCTCTCTGCTAGCTGAACTCCACGTAAACACAGAGGGTCTGAACTTAACTCCTCTTCCATTGCTAACTTCTAAAATGCAATGTTACCACGTCTCTCCCCTTTAAACCCACTATATGAGCTACAAAGGACAAATGCCTTAGTTAAGACTCATAAGGTCCTTCATTATAAGACCTGCATTTAGCCTTTCTTTGATTACTTTTTCTTCATATGATCAAATTGTACAGAACTACTACAGATTCCCAAATGTGCCATGCTTTTTCAAGTGTCTTTATGTTTCCTTATGTTCTTTCTTTTGCTTGGAATGACTATTATGCCTTTGGTTGTTTGGAGGCGTCTTGTTTTCCAAGACTCAACACAGGTATCACTGTGTGTGAAATCCTTTCAGATCATTTCTTGTCCCAGATTAATCATTTTCTCCCTCATATCTCCAACTGCATCAGTACAAACCTCCTTTATCCCAAAGAATTTAACGTTTTTAATAATATTGACAATGGAAATACATTTTGTCATTTTCCAATTATTTATTGGTAGTACACAGAAATACTATTGATTTATGTATATTATGCTTATATCCTCTGACCTTGCTAAATTCACTTATTAGCTCAAGTAACTTTTTGTAGATTCTTTAGGGTTTTCCATATACAGTCATGTTGCAAATAGAGAGTTTTACTTTTTCCTTTCCAATCTGAATGCCTTCTTTTTCTTTTTCTTGCCTATTGCAATGGCTAAGGCATCCATTATAATCTTCAATGGAAGTACTGAAAGCAACTGTCTCATACTTTTATCACTAAATATAATGTTATCTGTGGAGTTTTCATAGATGCCCATATCAGGGTGAGGAAGTTCCTTTTTACCCCTAGAGTTCTGAGAGTTTTAATTAGGAATGGTTGTTAAATTTTGTCAAACGCTTTTTCTATACCTGTTGAACTGTCCTATTTTTTCATCTGTACTATTAATATCAAAGTTTATATTCATTGATTTTCTAATGTTAAATTACTCCTGGGAAAACTCCACTTAGTTATTATGCATTATTCTTTTTCTATATTGTTGGGTTTAATATGTCAATATTTTATGAAGAATTTTTGCATATTCATGAGGGATATCAGTTCGTAGTTTTGTGCTCTTGTAATTTCTTTTTATACTGGTTTTGCTATCAGAATAAAACTAGTCTCATAAAATGGGGAACTATTCCTACCTCCTCTATTTAGTACTGTATCTTTTGTGAATGACAGAAATCACAGTGAAACTATCTGGGCCTGAAATTTGCTTTGTAGGAAAGTTTTTAATTATAAATTCAATTTCTTTAATAGCTATAGAGCTATTAGTATTTTCTATTTCTTTTTGTATTAGTTTTGTGACTTGAGGAATTTGTCCATTTCATCTAAATTGTGAAATTTATTAGCAAAAAAATGTTCACAAGTCCTTTATTATCTTTTTAATTCTATATTTGGAATTTTATCCCAATTCCCTTTTTTTATTCCCAATATTGGTAATTGTATCTTCTGCATTTTTGTTCCTGATCAGTCTATCTAGGAGTTTATCAATTTTTTTGATACTTTGAAAGAACCAGGTTTTTCTATTTCATTTATTTGTTATTATTATTTTCTTCCTTCTATTTTCTGTAGATTTAAGTTGTCCTTATTTTCTAGTGTCCTAATGTGGACTCTTGGATAATTGATTTTTCAGTCTCTTTCTTTTCTAACATTAGGATTTAAAGCTAAAATGTTCACTGTAAATACTGCTTCAGTTTCATCCCACAATTTTTTATATATAGTCATTTTACTACCATGTAGTTCAAATTTACTTTCATTATGGCCAGAAAACAAACCTTTTGAAATACATTGACTTATTTTATGTGCTAACACATGGCCTATTTGTTGAATGTTCCTTATGTACTTGAAAAAAAATGTGTATTCTGCACTTACACCTTTATAAATGCCAACTAGGTCATGGCTTTTGATAGTGGCTTTCAGATCTTTGATTTCTTCACTTTTTGGGAGATCCAATTGTGCTATCAATTACTGAGAAAGTATATTAAAGTGCCCAACTATGACTGTGGCTTTGACTATTTCTCCCTTCAGGTTGAGTTAGTTTTTGCTTCATGTACTTGGAAACTCTGTTTATTAGGTACATATATGCTTATAATTGTTCTATCTTTGTAATGTATTCACCCATTTATCATTATGAAGGATCTTTTTTAGTCTCCAGCAATCCTTGTATTGATGTCTATTTTTCCCCCTGGATATTAACATAGCCACTCTGAGGTTCTCATGCATACTGTTTGCATGGTATACTTCTTTCTATTCTTTTATTCTCCATGTATTTGTGTCCTTGTATTTAAAGTGCATCTCATATATATAGCATATAGTTGTTTTTTATTTTTATTTTTGGTCCAGTTTGACATTCTCTGCCTTTTGATTCATTTTTGGTCCATTTACACTTCAGTGTTTGCATCTTTGCTTTGAGATCTACAGTCATGTCATTTGTTTTCTATTTGTCCTATTTGGTCATTATTCCTCTATTCCTCCTTTCCCACCTCCCTTTGAATTAATCACAAATATTTTTTGGCATTCCATTTTAATTTCTCTGTTGGCTTTCTAGCTCTATCTCTTTTTATTATACTTTAAGTGGTTGTTCTTAGCATCACAGTATGTAAATTCAACTTAAGAGAAAATATTAAAAACATAAGATAAAAATATAGGAACCTTACAAAATATTCCATTTATCCTGTGCCCTGTCCTTATTTTTGTTGTCATATATTTATGTTATGAATTCACCAGTGAAGCATACGATTTTTACTTTTGTTATTTTTTCTTTAAGGAAACTAATAGAAGGAAAATTGTTATTTTCCCTTTACATATATAACTACAATTTCTAGTTCTCTTCATTTCTTTGTGTAGATCTAGGTTTCCATTTGGTGTCATTTCCCTTCAGCTGAATTTCTTATAGTGCAGGTCTGCTAGTGACAAATTCTGTTTCTGCTTATCTGAAAATGTTTTTAATTGTCCTTATTTTTGAAGGACAATTTTGCCAAATGTAGAATTCTTGGGTAAAGTTTTCTTTCTTCTATCATTTGACTATGTTGGTCCAAAGTCTTTTGGTCTCCACAGTTTCTGTTAAGAAGTCAGCTGTTAATTGAATTGTTGTTTCCTGTATGTAACATTATCTTTTTTTCTGGACCATCAAGGAGTGGTTTTTCTCTGTGTTCATCTTGAATCTATTGTGCTTCTAGGATCTGTAAGGTTTTTCCCACAGCTTTGAGAAAATTTCGGTCATTATTTCTTCAATTTTTTTCCTACAACTTACTCCTACCTTTCAAGACTTTACACATATTTTGAATTGCTTGTTATTTCCCTACAGATCCCTGAGGTTTTCAATTTTATTCCATATTTTCTCCCCACTCTATTCTTAAAATTGGGTGATTTCTATTGTCCTATTTTGAACTTCAGTTTTTTCCTCCCAATCTGCTTTCTTTTCCAATCTGCTGCTCAGTCCAAGTTATTTTAAAATTTCAATTACTGTATTTTTTAACTCCTCAGTTTGTTTTTCATTTTGGCTTAAAATAACAGAACTTTACTGTCTCACAGTTCTGAAAGCTAGAAGCCCCAAATCAAGGTGTCAGCAGGACCATGCTCTCTCTGATGGCTGTTGGGGAGAACCCTTCCTTGCCTCTTCTAGTTTCTGGTGTTCACCAGCAATCCTTAGCATTCCTGGGCTTGTAGATACATCACCCCAAATCTTCTCTCTGTGTGCCTTCACACTGTTTTCCCTCTGTGTGTCACTTTCTGTATCCAAATTTCCCTGTTTCATGAACTGAATTTTTGTTTTTAAGTTTCCAATTCTCTATTGAGATTTTCTATTTATTCACTCATTGAAGCCATATTTTCTTCAGTTGGACGTATTTATAATAAGCACCTACAAATTCGTTCTTGTTAAATCCAACACACACTCACTGAGTTTCTACTGACTGTCCTTTTCCTTATGTGAGTATGTCACACTTTTGTTTCTTTGCATTTCTAGTAATTTTTGCTTTAAAACTGAGTATTGTAGGTAATACACATAATGATTTGATTGTGTTCTTCTAAAAACTGTCTTTCATTGTTGTTCTACTAGATAATCTACTTGAACTCAGACTGCAAGCTTTATCTCACTTGCACATGTAGGTGCTGATATCTTTATTCTTATGGTTTTTAGCTGTTTTATCCTGACCCCTTGATAGTGGGGTGTGGGGTGGTTCTCCCCTGCACCTGCCTAATTTGATGTCGGCTACAGATTTGGACAGAGATTATACTCTAATCTCTGTGATTATTCTTTCCATGATTTTCTTCTGGGGATTCCTACCTAATTTCTTCCTGCATTTTCATCCTGTCCTCTGTCCCCTCACATTTCAAATCCATAAAATTTCAGCTTTCTGCCACCCAAGTGGAAGATGGACTGTAGAATGCAGTCAGTTAAAAGAGCAGAAAAGTTACACATACTGCCCCATGCAGCTATCTTTCAAGAGTAGATCTCTCTAGTATCTGCCTGATTTTTCACCGGGCCCTCAGGAACTTTCAGCAGGTAAGGGAGTTTCAAGATTGGAGTACAGTTCAACGGCACTGCTCAGCCTTGGAGAGTTCACTGCTCTCCTCTTCTGTTGTTCCATAGAACTTTGCACATACCGATACCACTATAGTGCATATCACAGAGCACGTGATTATCTTCTCCCCTGTTAGACAATAACTTATTTTTGTATCTGTATCCTTGGTGCCCATATAGCATCTTGGACTCAACAAACTATAAATAAATAAATTTAATTTAATAACATGTTGATTTTTCCTTTCATCTCACTGTTCTCTCATAGTTCTCCTAACTTCTCATTGATTTGCATTTCAATCACATATTACTCTAATTAATCTTTCACAGATATAACAAATTACCTTTCTAATTTTAATACTAATGTTGTTAGAGGGAAGAGAAATACAGATAACTAAGGCTCTCCGATATTTGCATCTGCAGAATGAAACTTGGCAATAAGCCCATCAGGCCCTTGTCCTACCCATTAACCTTATTTTCAGATCTGGATATCTCACAACTCTATAATGTGAGTACTATTTACATTTTATATCTAAAAAACCTAAAGCTCAGAAAGCAGAATTATTTTCTCCTGGGTTTCTGGACTTGTTTAATCAGAAGTTTCAGATATATCTATACCTGCAAGCTGCTGGCCCAAGGCTTATTTCCTGATTTTGGTTCTGATAATGGGATTTGCTTTTCACTACTCTAGATTCAGCTCATGGTTATTGGTTTCATTTCTCCTTGGAGAATTCTGTTAATTCCTCCTAGTCCAGCAAACAGGAAAAATTAGTTTCATCATGATCCAGTTGTTTTTTTTGCTAGGAAAGAACCCTTTCAACTGCTGAAGGCAGAAGCTCCTGGTTCAGGCTTCTTTATGATATCCCAGTATTAGTTGTTTATCTTTCCCACTAGGACCTAGTGTCTTAGTGTGGATGATAAATAATGTCAGTCTATTATTGACCAATATCACTGGTAAATATCAATGCAAATACCCTCTACAAGATATTAGCAAATGAATTCCTGTATTAAAAAATTTAAAGAGTTCCAGTTGTAATCAGAAGGGCTAACTATATACTCTGATCAACCAACTAATAAAAGCTAGGATTGATATAAATGTAAAAACATGGGAAAAGATATAACAAGGGAAAACCAACCAATAGAAAGCCAGTGTAGCTATAAAACAGACAAAACAGATTTCAATGAAAATAGCATTACTAGAGATAAAGAAGGCCACTGCATAATAAAATATTTCTTTCATCAAGATGTAATAATTTAAAAACTGTATGTCTGGTAACATAGCCTTCAGAAGCAAAAATAGATAAAAGTATAAAGAGAAAAAGGAACATCCACAGTTATTATGAGAAATTGCTACACATCTTCCTTGGTTGATAGATTATGCAAACAAAAAAATTCTTAAGGATACAAAAGACATTAGCAAGCTTCATCTAAAGGACTCACACAGAATAGTTATTTAGAATTACATAAAATATTTACAAATATTAACTATATACTAGGAGTCAAAGTACATCTTAGTAAATGTCAAAAGACTGATACCACTCAGACCAAAATACTATTAGGTTAGAAATCAATTAAAAAAAAAAAGTAGGAAAATACTCCATGCAACTGCACCGCAAATTAAGAAATATGACCAAATAATTTAAGAGCAAAGAAGAAATCATAGAAATAAGAAAAATTTTAGAACTGAACAACAAAAATGCTAGGTATTACAACATGTGACATGAAGCAAAAGCACTATTTAGAAGAAAATTTAGAGATTTAGACAATTAGAGAAGAGGAATGGAAAAAAATTAATGTGCTAAGCATACATCTTTAGATAATAGAAAAAGAACAGAATAGGCCCAAAGAAAGCAGAGGAAGGAAATAAAATAAATGTAACAATTCAGAAATGAATGAAATAGGGAACAAATACAGCAAAGTAGAGCAGCAATGTCAAAGTTTTTTCTTTTAGTCATTATAATTGGCAAACACCTGATAAGAAAATTAAGAAAATGAAAAGAAAGCACAATAACCCATATTAAGAATGAAAAAGGAACAGTTATAGATGTTTTTGAGATTAAAAAACATGAGAAGATATTATGAATAACTTTATGTCAAAATGCTTGAGAAATAGATAAATTCCTAGAAAAATAAATCTTAGCAAAACTGACTCAAGAACCATAGGTATATGGGAGATAATATAGGATTTGCTCTATTTTTTCATGTTTGAAATTTTCCGTAATGAAAAGATATTTTTAACTTGAAGCCTGAGAATGTGAATGTCTGGCATTTTAGCTTCTTTAGAAGGAAAAAGGTTGTATCTCCAAAGTGGAAATTTTGCAAACACAGTTCTAGGTTCAGATACTAGGATCCCACAAAGAATGACACTATGTCCACACATTGGTATGTACTAAAACTATAATTACATACTACTCTTTAAATCCAAAATTCACTGGAAGGAACCTGTCCTACAAATATATCCTTATGATCACACAAGAGAGTTCATCACATCATAGTCTATGATAGCAAAATAATTAAAATCAATAAGGAGATGATTAAATAAATTATGTTATATTTTATATTAGATTAACATGCAGCTGACAAACAAATATTCACTATATGCCAGGAACCATGTTATGCACTGGTAATACCATTGTAAGCAAAACGGACAATAGTCTGAATGAGGTACTAACATTTTTTTAAATGCCTAAGTATATTAAGTGGTTAAAAAATTAGTATGACTCCATTGGGAAAAAAATCAGACATTTATGTATATTTGTATATACACACAGAGAAAACTTTTGGAACAATACAGAAAAACTGTTATCTTTGGAGAGTAGGAATGGACAGAGATGAGTTCCTTCTGATGCCTGGATTTTTTACTTCTATTTAAAAATTTAAAATATACTTTGTATAATTTAAAATGGGAATATTTTATTTTTCAAATGATAGGATTGCATGCCTTAAAATACAAAAAACCTAGAGAACCCATTGAAATGTATAGGGTTTCCTTCTGGAGTGAAGAAAATGTTCTAAAATTAGATAATGGTGATGGTTAAACAACTCAGGGAAGTTTATGGGTAAATTTATGTATGGTTTGGATACATCTTAATAAAACTGTTAATGGGGATGGGGATGTGATTTGCAGGCTTATATGGGAGCTGACATTGCTTTCAGATCCAAAGTTGTTTGACAACTGGTGTTTTAAATTCAAAATGTACATGAATTTTGCCTTCTATTCTATGACATATCCATATTTTCAGTTCCAAAAATATAGAAAATTAGCCTGGGATAGGTGCCACATTTATCCCTTGGGTCTTCCACCACAGAGATTTTGACCTAACTGTAACATAGAAAGGATTCCTCAGAAAACCAATAGTAGTAATTCTGTTTCTCCTTGAAAGTTACTGAGCACCTACTATGTTCAAGGCATTAAGCTAGTTGCTGCAGATATATGTGTCCAGCAGTGAACTTAAAATATTTGGGGGAAGGGGTTGAGAAAGAGTGTGATTTCAAAAAATATTTTTGATATGCGTGATAGGGTTTTAAAAAATAGTTTTTGGATTAAAAAATTTCCAGTGGATCTTTAATTATTTTTTATGTAGTGCATTTAAAAATGGAATTCTATTTTACAACTTGCTTTTTTCTACTTATCCACTTATTTCTAGCATCCTCAGAAGATGTTCCCTTGGAAACCTGGTGAGAGAGTTGCAAGTTCATCCCAGGATGGAACTCTACATATAGAAAAATATGTAAAAGCTTACCATTTGATAAAGGTAATATTTCAAACCACTCGGTAAAAAGGATAGATAATTCAATAAATGATGTTGGAACAATACCTGGAGAGAAAAATATTAGATACCATTTTATTCCTTTTTTGAAACTAATTCCAGGTAGATTAATGAATTAGAAAATATTTATTTGATCTTAGGCATGAGGAAAGCCTTTCTAAGCATAACAAGAACAACAAATTTAATAGAAAAGTTACAGAATTGACTACATAAAATTTAAAACTTCTGTAAAGAAAACCAAAAGAAATCAAAACTTGGGGGGAAAAGTATAACATGTATGACACAAGGGGCTGTTTTAGTCTCCTAGTACACACTGACCCAAACTGGCTGACTTAAAACAGGAATTTATCCTCTAGCTTAGAAGTCCAAAATCAAGGTGTCTGCAGGGCTGTGTTCTCTGGAAGGCTCTGGGAGGGGGGAGGCTCTTAGGTGCCTTTCACTCAGCTTCTATGCAGCCAACAATCCTTGGTGTTCCTTGATTTGCAGCTGTGTAACTCCCGTCTTTGCTTGCATCGTCACATGGTGTTCTTCTACCTTCATGTCTTTTCATATGGACACCAGTCATACTGGATTAGGGACCAACCCTACTCTGTATGGCTTCATCTTCACTGATTAAATTTGCAACGACCCTATTTCCAAATAAGATCTGTAGTGGGAGTTAGGAGTTCAACCTACCTTTTTTTGAGGACCCAATTCAATCCATAGAAAGTCTTAAATATGTAAGTAAAACTTATAAACTAGCAAAAAAAACCCACAACACTGCAACAGAACAAGAATAAGGCAATACACAAGTGTATATATATATATATATATAACACACTCTCTCTCTCTCTCCATATACACACACATATAGCTCCAATATTTCTTATCTCCAACAACCATGTGCAAGATGTCCAGCTCTGCTACATGCTGAATATACTCTGCTCTCTTAACCTGATTAGCTGCTCTTTCTCCCTTGCCTTCACTTGGGCTAGGCACCGTGTTGTGCTCTAGGACTAGGTCCTGGATGATATCATCTAGATGGATGACTTTACTACAGCCTGTGTGCTAATGACACAAAATTTGAGTCCCTAGTCAGGACTTTTCTCCTGGCCTCCAACCTCAGTACAAACATACTGCCTCATACCTGGCATCTCCAGTTGGCTATCCCACAAACATCTTAAATTTAACACCTTCAAAAGAGACCTCTTGAATTTTTCCTCCAATCTTGTTCCTCCTCAAGTTTTCTTCATTTCAGTGAATGACACCAATATGCATCCAGTTACTTAGGTCAAAACCAGGGCATCATTTCTTGATTCCTTCCTTTCCCTCATTATCCACAGCCAAATATCAAGACTTATTTGTTGATTTTACTTTCTAAATATCTACCACATCTCTCCAGTCTCCCAGCCCACACCATGACTGTAGTTTAACCTATGATTCTCTCTGGTCTGGACTATGGTAGCAAAGTCATAGCCTGATCTCTGACTCCACTTTTGTCCCTTGATGGGAGGGTGACTATACTTCTATTCTGGTTGGGGCAGTTCCAGTTTTCTCCTGTTGCTTGACACCCTGTCCAGTTAGTACCCCCTTTCATTTGCAGAAGGACCCTCATTTGGATGATAAATTATATGTCACCTTCTTTACAATCTTTTCTTCTTAAAGTAGTTGAAATCACCTTTTAAAATGGTAGATCAGATCATGCATTTCCATGCTTAAAACCCTTCAGAGACTTTAAAAAGTTTTTTTAAATTTTGGTGTCATTATTCTACAATTACATGAGGAACATTATGTTTACTAGACTTGCCCCATCACCAAGTTCCCCCCATATTCCCTATTGCAGTCACTGTCCATCAGCGTAATAAGATGTTGTAGAATCACTGCTGGTCTTCTCTGTGTTGTACAGCCTTCCCCATGTTCCCCTCACCACATTATGCATGCTAATCATAATGCCCCCTTTCTTCCCCCCACCCTTATCCCTCCCTTCCCACCCGTCCTCCCCAGTCCTTTTCCCTTTGGTAACTGTTAGTCCTTTCTTGGGGTTCTGTGAATCTGCTGCTGTTTTGTTCCTTCAGTTTTTCCTTTGTTCTTATACTCCACAGATGAGTGAAATCATTTAGTACTTGTCTTTCTCTGCCTGGCTTATTTCACTGAGCATAATATCCTCCAGCTCCATCCATGTTGTTGCAAATGGTAGGATTTGTTTTCTTCTTATGGCTGAATAATATTCCATTGTATATATGTACCACATCTTCTTTATCCATTCATTTACTGATGGACACATAGGTTGCTTTCATTTCTTGGCTATTGTGAATAGTGCTGTGATAAATATAGGGGTGCATTAGTCTTTTTCAAACTGGGCTGCTGTGTTCTTAGGGTAAATTCCTAGAAGTGGAATTCCTGGGTCAAATGGTATGTATTTCTATTTTGAGTTTTTTGAGGAACCTCCATATTGCTTTCCACAATGGTTGAACTAGTTTACATTCCCACCTTCAAAGATTTTTCTACTACGTAAGAATAAAATCTAAATTTCTTACTGTGGTCTAGAAGGTCCTATGCAGCCTATCCCTACATACTTCTCTCTTCCAACTCTGTCCTTCACTCTTTACATTCCAGCTCCACTGGCCTTTTGGATTCCTCCAATCAGCCATGCCTATTCCCACTTCCATGCCTTTGTTTTTGCTGTACCCTTTGCAGCTAACTTATTTCCCTAGATCTCATAACAAATCTATTCTGTCATTTTGCTCAGATCAAATATTAACTCTTCAGAGAGGCCTTCTCTGAAAACCCAATCTAATGTTCCTGACGTCACCCAGGTTACTCTCTATTATATTGTCCACCGATTTGTTAGTTTGTTTATTCCTTATATTTCCCCACTCGCTGGAACATAGGTCCATTGTTACCTTGCTAACCTCTGGTCCCCAGGGTTAAAGCATGTGCTGAATAAGTATATACTGAAAGAATGAATCACAACCAAAGAAAGAAATTAAACCGTGACAACTCACAGAATCTGCAAATCAGCACAGATTAAAAGAACAAAAATTTCTTATTTTTCTTTCTGGCATTCTGTATTACCATCTGACATTTAGTGATTATTTACCATTTGTCTCCCCCAGAGTAAAATGAAATCTCCACACAGGCAGGGACTTTGTTTTGTTCACTTGCTTATACTCTTAGAATCTACTATAAAAATGCCTGACATACAGTAAGTGCTCAATAAATATTTAATGAATAAACTGACAATACCTAAGAGTGACTAGGTAATATAGAAAGAATGAGAATATAATTGATGCATGATTTCCTTAGGAAATCTGGCAATATATATTAAAAACTCTCAGAGTGGGGCATACCTTTGACACAGCAATCTAAATTCTAACAGGAACTTAAACAAATGAACAAGGGTAGAAAGATTATTTATGAGGGAATTTCTCCTTGGGTTGCTTGTAACAGAGAACATTTAGAAACACCAGCATGACATCCATTAATAGGAGATCACAAATATAATTATCAATCAATTATTTAAATATACATTAAAATATTGGTGAAGACATGCATTTATTGGTGATAAAGAGGTAAAAAGTATGTGAAGAGAAAAAGGCAAGCTAAAAAATGCAAGACAAGATGTATAGCAAGACTTCATTTTTTGTAAAAACATGTATGAGGGAGACACTTGGGTATGTATGAGTGCACACTGGCATTTACACATAAAAGTTTAGAAAGACATACTTCAAAATGTTAATATTGGTTATCTTTGGGATGGTGAGATTAAGGGCAATTTTAATTTCCTTCTATGTACATTTCTAAATGTTTTGTAATTAAGTCAACCAAAATTATCTGAAAATGTTCTGCTTTTCAAAGAGGGAAAAAAAGCAATAAATACTATTAAGAACACAGACACACCTCATCAACTCAATGAAGACTAAAGCCCAAGTTAGGAACTAGTTCAGAAGTGTCAACTACAGTACTGGAGATGGCCTTCTGATTCCTGAATTCAAGCAAATTCTTTCCCCTCAGTCAGTATTTCTAAAAAAGAAAAAAATTATAAAACTTCTTTATTTCATTGCTTGCCAAGTTTGACAAAGTCAGGCCTGGCTGAGAAACAACACAAAGTGTAGCAAAAGCTCTCATTTATACTGGGCATTTTCCTTGCACTACCTCATTAAAAGTCTTCTAATGGTCCTGCCCAGATGGTTCTTACTGTTCTCAAGTGCAAAAGTATGAGAGAAGTGACAGAACTTGGCAAAGGTAATGCAGCTGCTGTGTGTGTGTGTGTGTGTGTGTGTGTGTGTGCGTGCATGCGTGTGTGTGTGTGTGTGTGTGTGTGTGTGTTTTGGGAGTTGGTGGTTCTGATTTGAATACAGGTCTCTTTGACCTCAGGGCCCTTAGGAAAAGCCAGACAAAGGCTTCAATCTTGCAAGTCTCTTAATGCCTCTGATCTTTTATGTGGTTATCCTCCCACCATTATCTAACTGTAAGAAAGATAAAAGGAGAACAAGCCTGGAGTTTCTAAGATGGAGTAAATCTGGAGAAGCAAGAATTACACTGGGTACTACTCTCTGGAACTTGCCCTTCATTTCTCTTCAGTTCAAAATGCTCAAGATCAAAATACTTGGTTGGGTGGTCACAGCGGAGGGGAGCAGTTTGAGAGTGCACCCATGTATGTGTGTGAAGGGTCACAACAGACTGTGATAAGGATGACACTTGTGCACTTGAAGAAGGAAGTTGGACCAGGATGAGGGCAGACAGACAACACTTGGGAGAATAGGCCGTGGGTAGAAAGGACAAAGTTAAAGGGATTGAGAGAAGGGGCAACGGAAAACAGGAGGAACAGGAGGAAAGGCAGTTGTGAGTTACTCTGCTGTATTTTTCTCTTCCACCTTTTTTCTCTATATACTCTTTCCCTTCATTGTTTCAGTCACAATTAGGCCTCCAGTGATCCTTCCCATGTGGGTGATTACCAAATATCTCTAGTCCTGACTTTTTTCCAGAGTAGAACTCCACTGATGTCCACACTGAATGCAGCATCTGCTCTAGCCCAAGCCTGCTCCTACTCTTGTACTTGCTCTCACTTAACAAATGTTCATCTGAACCCCAATCTGTCCTCTCTTCCCTCAACCATTCTTTCATCTAATAAAAATTTATTATGGACTGTGTCCCACACTGCCCCAGCACTTAGGTACTTTGACTTACTGAGTTGTTCTACCTTGAAAATCTCATCTTAATTTTTTACTGATATTTACTGAGAATCTCTCTTGCTTGAACCACAGCAGCATAGCACTCTGTTAATTGGTCTTCCATGTAATTCATTCTGTGGTGATCATCTAGCACTTAGCCCAATATTGGGGACACAGAAGGGGCTCACAGTGGAGGCTTAGGGACCATAAACCGGTTGGTGGGAAGCTGGGAAGGGGTTGGAGGAGCAGGAGCTAGATTTGTCTTGGAGGAATATTTGCATATGAAAAAGTATTTCCTTTAATTGTACACAGATCTATACACATAACATCAGCGTGATAATTCTTTTATTTTGTGGTGTGGCTTTGGGAGGCTGGAAAGTGTGCTGAAAGACTGATGTTCAGGCCATCTGATAAAGAGCATGCCCATCCACCTTCCACCCCTTGAGTACTCAATAGTCACTTGTTGAATATATCACCTTCTATGAGAAGGACCATGAATACTGTGTTGTCCATTGTATCTCCAAACCCTAGAACCTCTGGTCCGTGGTAGGGGTTCAATAATGATTGTGGAGAATTCCAGAAAGGCAGGGGCCATAGCTGTTTTACTCACCATCTCAGGAAGAAGGATAAGGACTAAAAGACTGAAGGAAAAAGAAATAGTGCAAGATGTTTACCTCCCTATTCCTTTAGAGTTTGGTAAATGTTTGCTAAGCTAAATAAATCACCTCCTGTATGCCTCCAAAATCGGGCCCCTGCTCGGCTGCCAGGCCCTGGAGCGCGGCCACCATCTGGCCCAGGCCCGGGGCTCCTGTTACGTCCCTGCACACATCTGTACTCACCACAAGCCAAACAATTACCCCTCCGCGTCCCTGTCTGGAGGTCCGGGCCTCCCCCACGACCCCGTCTCCCGGACCTCCAACCCCCACCGTCCTCAAGGCTCCTGAGAAGCCCACCGCCAGGCCTGCGGCTGCCGCCTACTGTGGGCTCTGGCACCCCCGCACCAGGACCTCGTGCATGTGCTCGGCCGCCGCTCTCCAACCCCAACCCGCTCCGGCTTGAGCGCGGAGCCCGAGAGGCCGGGCTGCCCTGGCCCGGGTCCGCCGCGCCCCTCTGGCGGGAGCAGCCGGGAAGGCTGCAAGGCGGGAAGCGGCTACAGCTGTGAGGCAACGGGGGTGGGGGCCGCAGAGGCAGCGGGCCGGGCCGGGGGTCCCGAAGAAGGGCGACGCGAGCCCAGGTAGCGTCCGGCCGCCGCGGGGCTCGGCGAGCGGAGGCTCGCTCACTCACCACGGTCCGGCGGGGAAGGGCGCCGGCGGTCCGGGACAGGGCCCGGCGGAGCCTCCGCGCCCGGCCCGAGCGGGTCCCCGCGGAGCTCTCGGAGCCGCTGTCGTCCGAGATCACGATGAAGTCCTCCATGGTTGCGGGCCGCGGCCGAACCAGATCGCGGACTGTCGGCGACGCAGGCGACCGCGGCGGCGACTTCGGTTGTTCCTGCTGAGGCGGCGGTGGCGACACCCGCGGCCATCACCCAGCAGGCCCCGCCCCTTCCCTCCAGAGCCCCGCCCCCGGCCGGGCTTGCCCCGCCCCCTCCCGAGCCTCGTCCCCGGCGGCCGGCGGCCGGCGACCGCGCTGGGGCCGCGGTCACTGTGCTTGACGGTGCGTTCCGTCCTCCGTTCCCGAAGAGGAGAAAAAGAGAGAAAATCGAGTCGCAGCTGGGAGCGGGCATGCAAAACGCTGAGGCTGCGAGGGCGTCCCCAGCTGCGTCCAACGGACTCAACTGTCAAGTGAGGTGTGAACAGGCCACTGACTGAGCTGTCCTCGACCTGACAGGAGAGGCCTGCCGTGAGGGTGGGGGACCTGGCCTCCCACTGAAGGGGTAGAGGGGACCCCGACTGAGGGTGGGTGACCGGACCGAGTGGTAGGAGAGATTAGGGGAAGAGCAGGCCCCATTTCTTGGTGCACATGTCTAAGTGTAGATACATTCCTCGCAGTGGAATTACTGGGTTAAAGGCTATGTTTTTGTTGCTGTTTTGTTAAATGATGCCAAATTACTCTTCTAAATTGTACCAATTTGCAGCTTTACCAACAATCTATGTTACTCAGGAATTTAAATTGAGATTTTGTTCAGTTGGTAACAGGGTCAGAAACTGAATAATGCCCAGAGTGAAGAGGTAGCAGACACCATGAATAATTAGATATTATGAATGAGCAAAGTTATAAAGATGAAAAATACCCAGTAGGGGGAGAAGTGGTAGGCAGCTGGCTGATTGTAAGGCAGGAACATTAAAATCATGATAGGATCTGTGTTATGATAAATGTGAGGTACTGACAAAATCTTATTGCTCAGGCTCCGGCAACTTGGTGTAATGTATTAACAGATCCAAAGCAAAAATGTGTTTATTGGAAGGGGATTGGTTCATAAAGGAATAGTTATCGGGTGCTATCTAAACAATGCCTAATGCAGTGATTCTAAAACTTAAGTGAGCATGAGAATTACTCAGAATCCTGGGCCCAGTCCAGAGTTTCTTGTTCAGTAGGCATGAGGGGGGTCCCCAGGAATTGCACTCCTAACAAGTTCCCACGTGATCCTGATGCTGCTACTCTGGGGGCCACACACTGAAAACCACTAGTCTAGATTTCAGATGTTCTGGCTGAATGGCTGAAATCATCCTTGTTGTGAAGGGATTTATTGAGTTCTCTTCACCAAATGCCATTAAAAATTTAATTTTTAAGATTTCGCCACTTCAAAACTGAAGGAACAAGGTGGCAGCAGACTCAGAGACTCCATGATGAACTAGTGGTTACCAAAGGGGAGGGGTGTGGGAGGGCAGGTGGGGAGGGTGGGAGAAGGGGATTGAGGGGTATTATGTTTAGTACACGTGGTGTGGGGGATCACGGGGAGAGCAGTGTAGCACAGAGAAGGGACATAGTGGATCTCTGGCAACTTGCTGCACTGATGGACAGTGACTGCACTGGGGTATGGGTGGGGACTTGATAATATGGGTAAATGTAGTAACCACCCACATTGTTTTTTCATGTGAAATCTTCATAAGAGTGTATATCAATCACACCTTAATAAAAAAAAAAGAATTCCCTGCTTCTTAAAACTCTGTCAACTCCAGGCTTCTCTGAATCTGTACTGCTCTTACCACTTATTTTCTGGCTCCTTCACAGATTCCCCTTCTACCCACTCCTTAAATGTTGATGTGCCTCAGAGTTCTGACATAGGCCACCTTCACACACTTCTCCCTGTACAATCTCAACTATTCCCATGGTTTTAATGATAATTTTTATGCTGATGACTTCCATAGGCTTATCTCCAGCCCAGTCCTGTCATCAGAGCTCCAGATGTATGTATCCAAATGTCTATTGAATCTCACTAGTACCTCAAGTTGAATGTCTAAAAATGAAATATGCCCCTGTCTTGCCTGAGGGTTTCAGCCCTGGGCAAGTTCATGTAGATTTAGTGAGACTGAGAAATGACAATGGAACTTCTTGGGGTAAAAGGGTTTATACCTGGCTTTATTTTCATGGCAGTAGGTCAAGCACTAGAATCATGTCTTGATAAGCAGTCCATGGTCTGTAATCTACCTCTATCTCTGCCTCTGTCCAGAGCAGAGCTTTTTACATAGTAACTCAGTTAATAATAGCTCATTGCGTACAGGTGTGGAAGCAGTAGCCTAGCAGTAGGCCAATTACATCATCAAATAGTTTAGGGTCAGGTGAGGATCCTGGCCATAGATACTTCCATTTCCCCCGACCCCCCAAAAAAACCCCAAACTGCTTCTCCTTCTGTGTTTCCTGTATCAGTGAGTGGTGGCACCACCAGCAAGCAATTGCTCAAGTGAGAAATCTGAGCATTGTGCTTGATTTCTACTTTTTTTCCATCAACAAGTCTATTTTACTTCCTAAATATTTGATGCACCCATTCACTTCTTTTGGCCTTAACTGTTATGATTCTAGGAAAGTTAAGATCACCTCTGGCCCAGTCTACTCTAGTAGCCTCCTATCCAGTCTTACAGAATCTATTCTTTTCCTCTTTCATTCTTTGAAATCAAGCTCTCTTCAGTGGCTCCCTGAGAACACTGTCTTACTCTTCTCAGGCTGCCATAACAAAATACCATAGACCAGTGGTTTAAACAACAGAAATTTTTTTGCTCACAGTTCTGGAGGCCAGAAGTCCAAGATCAAGGTGCTGGCCAATATGAAGACTCTTTCCTAGAGTTGCAGATTTCTGCCTATATCCTCACATGGCCTTTCCCCAATGGGTACATGTAGGGAGAGAGAGGAAAAGAGAGAGAGACCTCTTCCTCTGCTTATAAGGCCACTAATCCCATTATGAGGGCCCCATCCTCATGTCCTAATTTAACCTTAATTACCTCCTAAATGCCCTATCTCCAAATACCATCACATTGGGGGTTATAGCTTCAATATATGCATTTTTGGGGAACATAAACATAACACACTATAAACTTCTAAATATAGAGACAATATATATATTTTTGTAGGTGTGGATAAAATGAAGGTTCCTATAGCCAGGATTCTTACCTGGCCCTGGGTGGCTAGCTCACTGCACACATATGGGCAATACGTTGTTATTGACTCTTTTTAAAGAGTTCTGCCCAGTGCTCTGGGCCACATGGTGGCATGGGTGCAAGGCTGCAGGAGAGCAGAGACAAGACTGGAGGTGGCAGCACTGAGGACAGAGACTGAGGCAGCTGTGTGGGTAGAGAGGCTCAGAGGCAGAGACCGGTTTGCTGCATGAAGACTCACTCTGAGTGGACAGGATTCTAGTGATTGATCTGCCACCATGGGAATAAGGTTGTGTGTAACCCTTTCACCCAAGAATGTTCCATTGTCATTCTTTGGTCTCATTGAATCCATAGTGAACTTGCCCAGGGTTGAAACCCATTGGCAAGACAGTAGGTTATGTAAATAAATGTCATATTTATATAAAGTAAGCATATGATATATTTATATATAGTAAATATATGATTTCACTAAGCAAATTTTACCTTAAAAAAAGAAATAGAAAAAAATTAAAGTCCATGATATGCATATTATATTGTTAAGAGGTGAAGTGAAGTGTATATGTATGTCTGCAAGTTACCTTGAAATACAGCAAAAATAAGATGAATAAAAGTATAGATTGAGAAATGGATAAGCATATAAAACAAAATGTTACCATTGTCAAATCTGCAGGTAGTTATACGGTGTTCACTTTAAACTTTTGTGTTTATTTGAAAGTTGTTATACTATGTTGAGAAAAAATTTAAATTATGATTTTACTATGATTTTTTTTTATTAAGGTATCATTCATATAGAATCTTATGAAGGTTCCACATGAACAACATTGTGGTTATTAAATTCACCCACATTATCAAGTCCCCCACACACATCCCATTGCAGTCACAGTCCATCAGCATAGTAAGATGCTGTAGAGCCACTACTTGTCTTCTCTGTGCTCTACTGCCTTCCCTGTGACTGTCCACTTCTTCCTCCATGTCCACCCTCCCCTACTCTTTCCCTTTGGTAACCACTAGTCCATTCTTGGAGTCTTGGAGTCTTTGAGTCTGCCACTGTTTTGTTCCTTCAGTTTTGTTTTGTTGTTATACTCCACAAATGAGTGAAATCATTTGGTACTTGTCTTTTTCCACCTGGCTTATTTCACTGAGCATAATACCCTCTAGCTCCATCCATGTTGTTGCAAATGGTAGGATTTGTTTTCTTCTTATGGCCGAATAATACTCCACTGTGTATATGTACCACATCTTCTTTATCCATTCATCTACTGATGGACACTTACGTGCTTCCATTTCTTGGCTATTGTAAATAGTGCTGCGATAAACATAGGGGTGCATATGTCTTTTTGAAACTGGGCTCCTGCATTCTTAGGGTAAATTCCTAGGAGTGGAATTCCTGGGTCAAATGGTATTTCTATTTTTAGTTTTTTGAGGAACCTCAATATTGCTGTCCACAATGCTTGAACTAGCTTATATTCCCATCAGCAGTGTAGGAGGTTTCCCCTTTCTCTGCATCCTTACCAACATTTGTTGTTCCTAGTCTTTTCAATGTTAGCCATTCTAACTGGTGTGAGGTGATATTTTTTTTTTGAGGTGATAACTTGGTTTTGTTTTGATGGTTCGTTTTGGAAATGGAAAGGAAAAAAGTAGATATTTATATAATACTCAGTACCATTCTCACAAAAATTGAAATCTCTTGACAGTTTCAGATTTACAGTTTCAGTTTTCAAAAAATTTGTTTGCTGATCTATAAACAACCATGCTTAAAAGCAATAAGACATTCAAACTGTCTTCAAATACTTTAAGACTGTTCATGTGATATGTGGAAGAACAATAGAATTTGTTCAGACTTGCCCTCAGAGCTGCAATGAGGGGAAAACGGGGAAAAACCAGAGAAAGAATTCTACTACAATGTAAGAATTTTTCCCTGTTCCCTTTGTAATAATACAGATTATTTTATATGTAATATATATTTCCCTATAATAGTACCATATAATATTTCCCTTTGTAATAATACATATTACGAA